GTGTCCCCCCCTGGTGTCCCCGTGTCCCCCCCCGCTGTCCCCGTGTCCCCCCCCGGTGTCCCCGCGGTACCTCCGAGCTCCGCTCCGGTTCCTGGCGCGGCTTCCCCATGTGACCGGGCAGGAGTGTCAGGCACACCCAGGGCTCTTCCTCCTCCTCCTCCTCCTCATCATCCTCACCTTCCTGCTCCTCCTCACCTCTTCATCCTCCTCATCCTCATCCTCACCTCTTCTTCCTCAACTCTTCTTCCTCCTCATCATCATCATCCTCACCTTCCTGCTTCTCCTCAGCTCCTCCTCCTCATCCTCATCCTCACCTCTTCTTCCTCCTCCTCATCATCATCATCCTCACCTTTTCTCCCTCATCCTCCTCATCCTCACCTTCCTGCTCCTCCTCACCTCTTCTTCCTCCTCATCCTCACCTCTTCTTCCTCCTCCTCCTCCTCCTCCTCATCATCATCCTCAGCTCTTCTTTCTGCTCCTCCTCAGCTCTTCCTCCTCCTCATCGTCATCATCATCCTCACCTTCCTGCTCCTCCTCAGCCCTTCTTCCTCATCGTCATCATCATCATCCTCACCTCTTCTTCCTCATCATCATCCTCACCTCTTCTTTCTGCTCCTCCTCACCTCTTCTTCCTCATCCTCCTCCTCCTCACCTTCCTGCTCCTTCTCAGCTCTTCCTCCTCCTCCTCCTCCTCCTCCTCCTCCCCTCTCCCCTCTCCCCGGGGACCCTCCTGTTCCCTGCCGGGACCGGCCCGTGGGGCCGGGGGAACATTCCGGGCTCCTGGGGGGACTCCCGGGGGTCCCCGGTGCTCGGAGCCGGAGCTCGGAGCCCGGTCCGGGGGTCCCGGTGGTCCCGGTGTCCGGTCCGGGTGATCCTGGTGTCCGGTCCGGGTGATCCCGGTGTCCGGTCCCAGTGTCCGGTCTGGGTGATCCCGGTGTCCGGTCCGGGTGGTCCCGGTGTCCGGTCCCGGTGTCCGGTCCGGGTGTCCGGTCTGGGTGATCCCGGTGTCCGGTCCGGGTGATCCTGGTGTCCAGTCCCGGTCCGGCCCGGGTGATCCCGGTGTCCGGTCCCGGTGTCCGGTCCGGGTGATCCCGGTGTCCGGTCCGGGTGTCCGGTCCGGGTGGTCCCGGTGTCCGGTCCCGGTCCGGCCGCTGGGGGAGGGGAAGATTTGGGGTCCCCAAAGTCCCCAAGGACAAGGGGGGGGTGAGGGGGGAGGAACATCCGGGGATTGTCCCAAACACGGGAGATAAAGAAACCAAATAAAAACCCAATAAAAAATGAACAAATAAATTCAACGCCTTTATTGCGAGCCCGGTGTTGGAAGCACAAAGAGCAGCGGGAAGGAAACGCAGACCCCGGGGAGCCGGAGACCCCCGGGCAGGAGAGTTCCCGGCAGGGATCACCGGGAATTATCACCGATCACCGGGAATCACCATGGATCACCACAGATCACCGGGAATCACCAGGGATCATCAGGGATCACCGGGAATCACCATGGATCACCACAGATCACCGGGGATCACCAGGAATCACCGGGGATCACCAGGAATCACCGGGGATCACCAGGAATCACCGGGGATCACCAGGAATCACCGGGGATCACCAGGAATCACCGGGGATCACCAGGAATCACCGGGGATCACCAGGAATCACCGGGGATCACCAGGAATCACCGGGAATCACCATGGATCACCCAGGATCATCCGTGGGGGCTCATCCGTGGATCTCCATGGATCACCAGGGATCAACAGGAACCACCACAGATCACCGTGGATCACCAGGAATCACCTGGGATCACCAGGGGATCACCACAGATCACCGGGGATCACCAGGAATCACCACGGATCACCAGGAATCACCTGGGATCACCACAGATCACCGTGGATCACCTGGGATCACCGGGGGATCACCACAGATCACCGTGGATCACCAGGAATCACCGTGGATCACCACAGATCACCGTGGATCACCACGGATCACCGGGAATCACCTGGGATCACCACAGATCGCAAGGGAATCACCACAGATCACCGTGGATCACCAGGAATCACCGTGGATCACCACAGATCACCGTGGATCACCAGGAATCACCGGGAATCACCGGGGATCACCACGGATCACCGGGAATCACCTGGGATCACACAGATCAGCAGAGAATCACCACAGATCACCGTGGATCACCAGGAATCACCTGGGATCACCACAGATCACCACGGATCACCGGGAATCACCTGGGATCACCACAGATCGCGAGGGAATCACCACAGATCACCGTGGATCACCAGGAATCACCTGGGATCACCCAGGAATCACCACAGATCACCACAGATCACCTGGGATCACCACAGATCACCGGGGATCACCAGGAATCACCAGGAATCACCTGGGATCACCAGGGAATCACCACAGATCACCGTGGATCACCAGGAATCACCGTGGATCACCACAGATCACCGTGGATCACCAGGAATCACCTGGGATCACCCAGGAATCACCACAGATCACCACAGATCACCTGGAATCACCACAGATCACCGTGGATCACCAGGAATCACCGTGGATCACCACAGATCACCGTGGATCACCACGGATCACCGGGAATCACCTGGGATCACCACAGATCGCAAGGGAATCACCACAGATCACCGTGGATCACCAGGAATCACCGTGGATCACCACAGATCACCGTGGATCACCAGGAATCACCGGGAATCACCGGGGATCACCGGCGGGGGACGGAGCTCTCCCCTCCCTCGTGGCTCCGCCGGTGCCGGCTCATGTTGGAGCTCTGCGCGAATCCCTTCCCGCACTGGGGACACTCGTAGGGTTTCTCCCCGCTGTGGATCCTCCGGTGCCTCACCAGGTGGGCACCGCTCCTGAATCCCTTCCCGCAGTCGCGGCAGCGGAAGGGCCACTCGCCCGCGTGGATCCAGCGGTGCCGCAGGAGCGTGGTGCTGGTGCGGAACCTCTTGGGGCACTTCTCGCACCTGAAGGGCCTCTCCCCGCTGTGGATGCGCCGGTGGGCCGTCAGGTTGGAGTTGCGGTTGAAGCGCTTCCCGCAGTCGGGGCAGCGGAAGGGCCTCTCGCCCGTGTGGATCGTCTGGTGCCGGAGCAGGTGCGAGCTGCTCTGGAACCTCTTGTGGCATTTCTCGCACTCGTAGGGCCTCTCCCCCGTGTGGATCCTCAGGTGGGACACCAGCGTGTAGATCTTCCTGAAGCCCTTCCCGCACTCGGGGCACTCGTGGGGTCTCTCCTCGCTGTGGATTTGCCGGTGGGCCACGAGCTGGGATTTTTTCCTGAAGCCCTTCCCGCACTCGGGGCACTCGTGGGGTCTCTCCTCCGTGTGGACCTGCTGGTGCTGGAGGAGCCTGAAGCTGCTCTGGAACCTCCTGGAGCATTTCTCACACTCGTAGGGTCTCTCCCTGTTGTGGCTCCTCTGGTGGGTGACCAGGTTGGAGTTCACCCTGAACCTCTTCCCGCACTCCTCGCACTTGAAGGGTCTCTCCCCGCTGTGGATCCTCAGGTGGGCGACGAGCGTGGAGTTCTTCCCGAAGCCCTTCCCGCACTCGGGGCAGCAGAAAGGTCTCCGCTCCGTGTGGATCCGCTTGTGCCTGATGAGGCTGGAGCTCCTCTGGAACCTCTTGTGGCATTTCTCGCACTCGTAGGGTCTCTCCCCGGTGTGGATCCGCAGGTGCACGGTCAGGTTGGAGCTCACCCTGAAGCTCTTCCCGCACTCCTCGCACTTGAAGGGTCTCTCCCCCGTGTGGATTCTGCTGTGGAGGTTCAGGTAACGCTTCTTGCGGAAGCTCTTCCCGCACTCCTCGCACCTGTGCGGTTTCTTCTTATCGAAAAGCAGCAGCTGGAGCCCCAGCTCCGAGCTCTGCACCCCTCCTTCCCCCCGGGACCCCCGGGAATCGCAGCCGACCCTCGGGGGCTTCTCCTCCTCGCATCCCTGGGCTGTGGAGCCGCTCCCAGCGGGCTCTTCCAGAAGGTTCTGCCGCGGGGGTTTTTCCTCCTCGGGCTCCTTCTTCACCTCCTTGAGCGGCGCAGGAGGGACGAGCAGAGGATGGGATTTGTCTCCGTGCCGGAGGGAAGGGGCGGGAGATCCCCCCGAGATCCCCCCGGGGACCCCCCGGGATCCCCCCGGGGCCGCTCCCGGCTGGGCTGCGGGCTGCTGCAGGATCCAAACATAGCTGATTCCCAAAAAAATCCCTCCCGGAGCCGCCGCCGGTGGCTTTGGGGCGATCGCCCGCTGCCCGCTCATGGGCCCGGGGGGCGACGCTGCCGGAGCGGCCGGAGCGGGCGAGGAACGGCCGGGAGCGGCTGCTCTTCCTCCTCCTCTTCCTCCCGAGCCTCCTCCTCTTCCTCCTCATCCTCCTCCTCTTCCTCCTGGTACTCCTCCTCCTCCTCCTCCTCCTCAGCCTCCCGCTCCTCCTCCTCCTTTAACTCCCCCTCCTCTTCCTCCCGCTCCTCCTCATCCTCATCCTCCGGCCCGGCCCGGGGCCGACCCCCAAAAACAGCCGCGACCCCGCCCCGCGCGGCACGGGGAGCGATACTGGGGGGCACTGGGAGGGATACTGGGGGCACTGGGAGCGATACTGGGAGCTCTGGAAAGGAACTGAGAGAGATACTGGGGGCACTGGAAGCGATACTGGGGGCACTGGGAAGGAACTGGGGGCACTGGGAGCGATACTGGGAGCACTGGGAGCGATACTGGGGGCACTGGGAGGGAACTGGGAGCGCTTTTCCTGCCAGTCCAGCCCTTACTGGGAGGGAACTGGGAGCGCTTTTCCTGCCAGTCCAGCCCTTACTGGGAGGGAACTGGGAGCGCTTTCCCTGCCAGTCCCGCCCTTACTGGGAGCACTGGGAGGGAACTGGGAGAGAACAGAGCGCGGGAGCGGCCGCCGGGGGTGGGCGGGGCCAAGGTGAAGGGCGTGGTTATGCAAATGAAGGCGCGATGGCGCGCTGTGATTGGCGGGCGCGAGCAGCGCGGTGTTTCCCCGGTCACGTGAGGGCCGGGGCCGGCCGGAGCAATGGCGGCGGCGTCCGGTGTGAGGGGAGAGGGAGCGGGAATGGGAATGGGACCGGGAATGGGACCGGGAATGGGGACAGGGAGCGGGGATGGGACCGGGAATGGGACCGGGAATGCGGGATCCAGACCCCGAGCCCTTGTGGGAATGCGAGCGGGACAAGGGGGACACGGGGACGGGGAGTACCGGGAACCGTGAGGGGCGAGGGGACACCGGGGCCTGGGCCTGAGGGGACACCGGGCAGGGGGTGGCACCGGGGACAGGGGGGACACCGGGACAGGGGTGACACCGGCCTGAGGTGACACCGGGACCTGAGGTGACACCGGGACAGGGGAGACACCGGACTGAGGTGACACCGAGCAATGGGGACACCGGGACAGGGGGGTACACGGCCCAGGGGGTGACACTGGGCCAGGGGTGACACCGGTCTGAGGTGACATCGGGACACGGGGGTGATCCGAACAATGGGGGGACACCGGGACCTGAGGGGACCCCGGGCCCCGGGGGGACACGGCCCAGGGGGTGACACTGGCCCGAGGGTGACACCGGGACCTGAGGGTGACACCGGCCCGAGGTGACACCGGCCCGAGGTGACACCGGCGGGTGTCCCCAGAGACCGAGCGGCTGCTGAGCCGCGGGCCCGGGTACGGCACGGCCGGGGCGGCGCCGGTACCGGGGGATGAGGAGGAGGAGGAGGATGAGGAGGAAGAGCTGCGGCGGCGCCTCAAGTATTTCTTCATGAGCCCCTGTGACAAGTACCGGGCCCGCGGCAGGCGGCCCGTCAAACTGGCACTGCAGCTCGCCAAGATCGTCCTCGTCACCGTGCAGGTGACACCGGGGACACCGGGGATGGCAGCAGGGACAGCGAGGGGACACCGGGGATGGCAGCG